AAATGAGCATTTGTCAATCGCTGAATATCCACATCTTTCTCAACTTAATCTTACTGAAGCTCATGATGATTATATCGAAGAATTTCTTGTTGATACGAAAGCCTGTTTACCAAATAATCTAAATATTTCTGTTGATTATCAAGTACTGAAACGTGTGACACAACATTTTACAAACAATACAATACGAAATAATTGTAAAAAACTGCGTAGCTTAGGTCTAATAGGAAAATGTCGAATTCCTAAATATGTAAAAGAATATTTTTCTCATACAAAAATATTATGAATGTTCAATGAAAAATTTTTCATCGAAATTTATCTATTTTCCGTAAAATCTACAACTAGGAAATTTCCTATTTTCTCATGTCTGTAATGGGCGAGGGTGGCGGAGGATTGAAAAATCTCACCTTAAAACTTACACTTGCCATTTTCTTCGAAAAATATATGAGTTCCGCATTTTGGCCCCAGAGGGGCTGCGGTGATAAGTTTTTTTTAAGAGTGTATTTCATATTTCATGCTTTCAGAAAAAATGACTCATTTTGATAGAAAAATAACTACAAGTCACTCTTGCTTTCATTTGAAATGGTTTTCACATGAACTATTCATATTAACAGTGCATTGAAACATATCAAGTTGAAAATGATATACTCCTATATTTATTCAAAACTCTAAATCTAAGGTTTAATGTCATACAAGCAATAAATGAGTTCGCGACATAGTTCAATATATAATCGAATATGAAGGTCAAGATCGTAGCTGTCAAAAATACCAGCAAACTAAGGCCTTGCCGTGTATGGATGGTGTTTTAATACTTCTAAAGCCGGACGATCTTCCGGGTAGTATTGCAATGTCTTCCTTAGTAAATCTCGTACTAATGGATCTTGTACAGGAGCATGTCCGTAGGGTGGTTCCCACGCACGATTTTCTGGATTCCAATTTGGTTGTTTACCATATGTCATGTAATACAACATAGCGCCAATGGACCATATATCAGCTTGTGGTTGATATTGTGGTCCTTGTAATATCAAAACTTCTGGTGCACTAGAAATGAAGCTTACTCTTTTTTTCGAATGTGCCTGAAGAAGTGCGAATTAACGAAATCTTATAAGGAAATACAAGAGTTATTCTAAGAGGACAAGTGATGCAGAAACCTTTTAGTCTAATTTGATTACCTAAAATTTGGCGTTTCATCATATTCATTGCTAAAATAATACAAGAAAAAACGTATATATGATGATTAGCCATCTCTAAGTTTGTTGTTCTGTCTTACTCAAATTCATACTTTGATAAACCAAAATTGCAAACTTTCAAAATATTATCAACACGCACAATATTTTGTGGTTTCAAATCCATATGTGCTATATTATAACGTTGCAAAACCGAAACAATTTGTACCAATTGCTTCCATATCAATCGTCGATAATGTGGAGGAATATATTCATTGGAGCGATTAACACCTTGTATTTTTACATATTGTTGATGTAAATCTTCGATTAATCGATCCAAACTTTCTTGGCCCAACTCCATGATTATATAAACTGAAATAATACAGCATAAAGGTAATATTCAGAGCGATTATGACACTCTTTGAAAGTCGTGATATGCAATATGCATAGTCTACTTTTCTACAAAAACAAGCTTAACCCTTTCCGGCCCGCTGTTTGAAAATTGCCGTACCCCCCTAGGGGAAAATGTTGCCATATGGCAACACCGGGCCGGAAAGGGTTAACACATGAGTCGTTTCGCTTACCACAACCTGCATATTCCTCTTGACTATCAACACCCAATTCATATACTTGAATAACATGCTTTTCATTTTTACTAGCCGTCAAATGGTACAAACTCTCGATTTTATTCATGTAGTCTTCAAACTGGTAGTCGTCGCTCAATGTTGCAAATGTGGAATCGTCATATAAATCAATTACTTTCACAGCAACACGATGACCACCAGGATCGATTGCTTCATAAACAGCACCTGAGTTTAGAAAAGATATCGATTATTTTATTTCAATTTCTATGTCATTCTGATATGTTTATAATACGGACCGTAATTTCCTTTTCTAAGTAGCTTTTTGAAAAAGTAAGGTCTGCTTTCTCCGCTATAAATTTCGTCAATCATAATTTGCTGATTGGTTAGATTAAAGACAGTTGTATGATGACGTAGCAGGTCCTTTGTTTCTACATTATAAAATAGCAATCGCGTTCCTTTTATTATTAGCAACCATTACCTACTTTTGTATAACCATTGAAACATTTCGACTTGTTTAACAAACTTTTCAAAATCCACAAAGTCAATTAGAATGATGATTAAAAACAATTGCGCTGATTGCAATGCCCTATGAGATAATGATGATTGCCTGATTTGACTGTTTTACTGAATGTACAACAGACGGTCTTTTTAGACGAGCGATGGAAAAGAAGAGACAACAGTAGAGTATCATAAAATTCATTCACCCCCTCGAAAAGCATACGTAAAAATAAGAATCATGACATCAGTAAAGAGAAGGACACCGACGTCATCTGATATTTTTTCATTACGAATGAACTTGAATAGAATATTACAACACATATCGAAGGTAAATTATCGTCAATTGAAATGGGCCTCAGGACAATATAATTACATTAGTTATAAACGACCGGCGATGATCGAAAATGTTAATGTACACTATCATTTCATTTAGTTTACGATTGAAGTTTTTGTGAGTTCACTATTATCGCATTGCAAACAGTTTCTCAAAATATTAGGGTGTGGGTGTGGGTGTGAATAAAGAGTGTATCTAGACCCACATCCACATCCTCGAGCATGTGATTAGATCAATCCTTAATAAAATTCGACCTTTAGGGTGTGCTCTCTGCTTATGCAACTTACACTACACTCACACCTTCAAGGATCTTCATAAACTCTTCTTTTCCTGATATTTCCCTATGGAAACATAGAAGAATTCTGTTGTTACCTTCACCAGTGACTTTTCAGAAAGAAAAAATTGAAAATCTCTTTCGAATATTCTAAAACCGCTGTGAAAGAGCCCTAGATGTTAAGTAAAACTCACCTGATTTATTTACTGATATCCAAAGGATTATTTTCGATTAGATCTGTAATGTCACACTTTTTAGTTTTTATTCGCATTATAATCAAGAGAAAATACCCCCCCCCCTCCCCCGCCACTTTCGTGAAATCTGTAGATAGCACTTGCAGTTGTTCTTATACTACGATGAAGAAAAGTAGTGAATTATGATACAAAAAAAACGTGAGTTCTTGACGAGCAAAATTGATTATATGGATCAAAAGAATGATTTTGTCGGCGATAAAAATTGAAAAGCTAGTCGTCAATGAAAATATGCCATTTGAACTAACAAGGTCGTCTGCAACCTAAAATAATATCAAGAAAACATTGTTTCAGTGTCATTATGAGCTTCAAACTATATTTACAGCATCCACAACAAGCTCCTATCCAACATGGTATCCATAAACCACCTGATATGAGACAGAGTACAAAATGGCATCCGTGTTGAACGTCAGGATCTTCCTTTTGCACTATAATAGTCGGTGAAGAAGTCACTGGATATGGCTGTACGATGACAGGTGGTGACTGAGCAGTGTTTGTAATGTTAGGATATACGTTGATCATATCGATTTACCACAATTAATACTAAATAGAAAAAGACTTCGAAATGCAAGGGAAAACAGCAGATTCTATGATTCTAAAGATTTTGTATGATTCTATTGTCACAGAACCAACTTTTCCTTTGTTACTACGTCGACTATGATTCGCGTTTTTATGCGCTTGTTAATATATAGCTGCCGATAAATCTAACGAATCGTAGGCGACTCGTTAACTGATGAATGGACATTAAGTCATATAAATATCATTAATCAATCAATATGGGTAAACGAAACTGAGGGTCTTCTACGAAAAAAAAATAACAATTTTTCATACTCCTACAACATACTATATGAGAAAACATTGTTGGGACAGAGGCACTTTAAGCCTCGTGAAAATATTATTTTTGAGAGAAAAAACCTGTCGAAATGTGTTATTTGACTCATTTTTTCTTAAGTATCTCAATGGCAGATGCTCTTGTTTCCAACATAGAGGCAATAGAAATATATCAGATTATGATTGCTTTTTCGATGACAAAAACTCGATTACAGTGGCACAGCACATATGCCTTATTTGATTGTATGACTAAGATTAGAGCTGTATCTCAATATAATTTTTTATCTACTGAACTGGTTTAGACGATTTCTTATACGGAGTGTTTCATAAGTTTTGAGGTGCAGTAAAATTTAACTTTCATGCGAACCAATAACGTTCTTAAATCAAATGTTTCTATATAAAATGTGAGTACTCGTGACAGATTTTCAAATGACGCATTTTGATAATATATCGGCTCTTGTAATAGCAGAAGTATAACCATGGCAATGTTATGATAAATTTTTTCAAATCGGCTATCATGATTTTTTTTTATTAAAACAAAAGAACATTAATTCTATTAGAGAAATACATGGTTTGTGTGTCATGTATATATTCTCTACTGTTTTTAATCACGTTGTCGAGTCTGCTAGGGATTTTATCAATCAATTTTTTATAACCATTATAAATTATCTTTTTCCATTCTTTATCCAATCTCATGTTTAGCTGTTCAGAACTTGAAAATTGTTCGTCTTGTACTTTTCCTTTAGAATCCTTCATTTGCTCTCAATAGATCAGACATCATTAAATTTAGCAGTCAGTTTAACACAGTCTTTCAAGGAATCTCCTTTTAAAATTATTTAGTGGAGTATATATTAGGTATTTTACTTATGATAATTTAGATTATTTTAAATGGATCGCCAGTCAAAGCTATCTGATGAGACTGTTCAGAAATGTCGAAAATCGAATCAAACAATGTTTTGGATTTCATACCTTATCCTCTATTTTATTGAAATAATACTTTCTATTCTTGCAGTAGATATAGTATAATATTTTTATTCGATTCTTCTACACTTGAATCATTCGAACTTATATCTATTGCCATTTAATAAGATCTAGTCAGCAACTTTGAAATATCAATGTTATTGTAGTAACTATACTCATGCTCAATTGTTTGAAATATATTATAAAATTTATTTCGACTTCATTGTTTGCTAAAAAGCAAAAGTTGAAATTAGTAGCTGTATTTATACAATTTCAGGATATATTCGACTAGCACATATCGTGCAAAATACTACAGGTTGTTAATACACGAAAACCAAGCTGTCAAATAATAAACAGTCACAGTTGGTTGATTCTGGTAGTTCATGTTGAAAAAAAAGAAAAGAATCACCAACAACTATAAATATAATTATCGCCTACGGACTAGGGGTGGCACTTTAACTTTACTTTAAATGTTAAAGTTAAAGTAACACTTTAAACTTTAAACGTTAAAGTTAAAGTAGTTCACTTTCAAACTTTAACTTTAATTAAAGTTGAAATTAAAGTGAATTAAAGTTAGTGTATTCATAGAATGAATGATGATCGTTCTTTGCTTTCGATGTGTTTTATCATTTTGAAAAGCCCTTTTTGGAAGAATATTTGAAAACTAATCAGATTAAAATAAAAATCTACAGTTATTGCATAAGAATAGGGATTCAATCTCATTTATTTGTATTTATTTGCTGCGGAGCAACATTTGAATTTCACTTATCAAGAGTTATAATAAAAAGTATTGACTGGTATTCTGTAACTTGAAAAAAAATTAATAAAAAGTGCACTTTTTATTAGAATTAATCGGATAATAATATGTGGAATGATTTCAAAATGAAAAGTAACTTCCTAAAAGAGCTATCGTTGAATAGTATTAATGTTTATGCGATCCTTCTCAACTATTATGACGATGTCTGTGATGCACCTTGTCGATTCATATTTCTATTATAAATGGCCATATTGTGTTTTTTCTTGCGTAATGAGGGAAAGACTTCTCAAAACACGGTTAATAGAGTTTTGTTCATGTTAATTCCTGTACATTCTCTTTCTTAAATATCGCAAAAGCTACATTCAAATATGATACTATCAATGTATCGATACAGAGCTTGAACTACGTCGATCGGCAGCTCATCTAAGGATCTTTACAAAGCTGAACGAATGTGTGGAGTACTTAAGTTCATTTAAAGGCACGCCAGCTTGCATTTTTCTCATCGTATCGGGTTTATTAGGCGTCAATCTAATGGAACATATTCGTGAAATAGAAGCCATTGTTTGGATCTATGTTTTCTGTGAAAATGAGACATTACATAGCTCATGGGCTAGCAAACACAGCAAAATTAGAGGTGTCTTTGTTGAAAAAGAAAGACTGTTTTCAAGCTTATTGCCCGATCTAGCCACTTTTTCCATTCATTTTACTCCAATAAGTATTTTTCAATCGGATGAAAATCAAAAATCTATTCATGATCTAAGTGAAGAAACTGCATCGTTTATGTGGTCACAGTTACTCGTGCGCATTATTCTTACAATGTGTGATAATCGTGATGATCGAGCTAAAAAAGATTTAATAGATGTTTGTCGCACACGCTATAAGGATGATATGTATGAACAAAATCGTATAACAGAATTCGAGCAAACGTACACTACCGGTCAAGCAATCCAATGGTATACAGCAAATAATTTTCTATATCGATGCTTGAATCGCGCTTTTCAAACTATGGATATTGATATCATCTATCGATTTCGATTTATCATTGCTGAGCTTCATGAACAATTGACTAGTTTACCGCGTCCATCTTCATCCAAACTTGTAGTATATCGAGGTCAAATTATTAGTACGAAAGAAATGAAAATTATTGAAGCAAATAAAAACAAAAGTTTCATCTCAATGAATACATTTTTATCAACATCAGAAGATGCTACACTTGCAGCGGGATTTGCATCAATAAATATGAATGTACCTACAGGTCTCAAATCAGTACTTTTCCGCATGACAATCGGTCAGACACGACAGCCATTTGCCAATATTGACGCATTAAGTGCAATGCCAAAAGAAAAGGAAATTCTTCTTTCGAGTGGTACTGTTTTTCGAATTGACGAAGTGGAAGACTGTGGTGTCGGCTATGTTGTAAATTTGACATCGACTACAGAAATTGAAGAACGTTTTGATGCTTTAGTACAACATTATCTAAGTGAGATAGGCACAAAGCCAACATTGGCTACTCTTGGCAGATTTCTAATGATGCAAGGTGATTACAATCGAGCACAACGATATTTTCAATTTCTTATTGATGAAAATGTGTCTGAACTCGATTATGATGGGCGTATTATTTGTTTCACTTGTCTTGGTCACATCCATGGCGAAAAAGGGGAATATGAACAAGCACTTGACTACTATCAGCGAGTATTGACGCTTCAACAAAGTACTCGTCCTAACGATTATATAGACTTTTCCACGACCTACAACAACATCGGTGTCATACAAATGGAACAGGGCCAATATATAGAAGCTATCGAAAGCCTTCAACATTCACTTGATATCGATCTTTCACATCAAAATACTCATCAGTTAATTATAGCAGCGACATACAACAACATGGCTCTAGTATATGCCGAAATGCAAGATCATTCAAAAGCAATGGAATGTAGTGAAAAATCGTTAAAAATAGACCTAGCTTATAACCGCGATACTATGAAACATCCTTTAACTGCTGTCAAGTATCATAATTTGGGCTCATGGTACGAAGAAAAGAACCAACATGAGAATGCCATTAACTATTATGAAAAAGCATTAACAATTCAAAAAGCATCGCTCCCGCCGGATCATTCATCAAGAATAATGACTGAGAGTTGCTTAGCCATTGCCTATTTTCAATCAGGAAAGCATCAGTTAGGCTTAGAGAAATGTTTGAAAGTACTTGATACGAAACTACGCGAACGCCCTCTCAATTTTCCATCATTAGCCAAATCTTACATAAATTTAGGAGGTATGTACGAAGAATTAGGTGACTTGATCAAAGCTGAAGAAAATCTGAAAAAATCTTTGCACATTTGTAAACGCCATCTAGCCAACCATCATACGGACACAGCAACAGCTTATCGAATTTTAGGTGATGTTTATGATGGAATGGGCAAGACAAAGAAAGCGCTAAATAATTATCAATTAAGTCTCAAAGTTTTCGAAAGACAGATACCACCCGACTCGGCGGTTATGGCGAAAGTTTATGGTAGAATGAGTGCAGTCGAACAGAACCAGATGAAAGTTATCGAATATGCCAAGAAAGGAGTGACTATATTGCTTGATGCAGATAAAATTGATAATGAAGCATTAGCCTTTGCTTACAATGCTCTTGGTACTGCATTAATGAAAGCCGACCAATTAGAAGAAGCCCTTGTAAACTACGCAAAAGCCTTACAGCTAGGACGTGAACTGGTTTATGGAGATGGAAATCATCTATCGCTCAGTACTTACTACCATAATCTTGGTTCTATTCTTAGTCAACAGGGACAAGTAGAAAAAGCACTTGAATACCAGCAAAAAGCATTGGAGATGTTTATTGAAAAAATGAAAGATACTCTACACCCTGAAGTAGCTCGAATGTACAATAATTTGGCTTGTTCGTATCATAGACTGCATAGTTATGAGTTAGCATTGGAGTTTTTTCAAAAAGCTGTCGATAGTTTTAAGCAACCAAATGCTAAAAATGTACGTCTGCTTGCTGAAACTTATATACATATTGGATCAGTCTACGAAGATTTAGTCGACTGGGAAAAAGAAGTAGAGTACTATAAAATGGCACTGGACTTACAATTAACAGAACTTGAATCTAATGATATTGATTTAGTTTTTACTTATTCACTTCTTGCTTCTGTTTACGAAAATCGTGAAGATTATTCAACAGCTCTAACATATCTTATGCCTATGTTGAATATTCAAACGAAATTTCTATCAAAAAATGATCATGAACTTTATGACTCCCATGATCAAATAGGAACATGCTATGGTCTGAACAAAGATTATCAAGCAGCACTGAAACATTTCAAGAAAGCACTTAAAATCCAGCGCCATCGAAAGAAACCATTGGCATCGATTTGCCAATCAGTAGGTGACACCTACAAACACCTTAAGAAGCAAAAATCAGCATCGAAATACTATCGACTGGGTATCCATAGTCTTGATAAAAAAGATGAAGCTCACCGAACTGTTGATGAACACGTAGATCTGTGCCAGTTATACAGAAAACTCGGCATTGTTGAATGCCAAATGAATCACTTTACTGAAGCCATGGCAAATCTACAACAATCATTGAATATATATGAGAAATTTCTAACGAATGGCAATCAATATGATGAAATTGTGCAAGATATACTAGAGTCAACAGCTAAAGTTCATGAAACAACAGAAAATATGTCTCTGACTGAAGAATATCGAAAAAGGAAAACAATTACTGAAAATACATGAAAACGACGGGTGTGGGTGTGGGTGTTATCATGTCACTGACAGGCACACCCACACTCACACCGCGTCGTAGTTGCTTGTAACACACCCCCAGTTTTCTCTTGAAAATTTGGGATTCGTTTACCATTCTTCATTTCATTTTTGAACAGAGTAGATTGTCTTGAATAGATTCATGTTTTTCTTAAAAATATTTTAATCTAACTAAAGACTTACGCCACCTGATGAGACTATTTGAGCAATAGTCAAAACGCGTCGTGGCTGCTTATAACACACCAACACACCCACACTCAATTTCGAAAATTCTTCGGTTTCTCAATTTCAAAAACATCTACGATGTCATTCATCGACAACGAGATTCAACTTTTAACTGTGAGAAATAGATTACTAGATCAACTGTCCGTCAAAGAACGGGAAACACAACATAGCATTGCAGCTGATGGATTAAACGAAGCGACTAGAGATCACAATATCAATGAAAAAATGACAAGGATCACGACAACTCGAGAACAAATTCAGTGGAATAAATTCACAAATGTTTTCTTTCTTCATTATACACATGAAAAACAACTGCATAGTCTGAAGCGCGACATACGATATGGTGTCCATTGAGCGAATGCAAAACAGCGAAAAAAGTTTGAGCGACGAGATATTCGCTGAAAATGTTTTTCGCTGTTATAATTTTCGCGCTTTTTTTCGCTATTTTTATTTTCGCTTAATGGACACCATATCCCACAAAGTATTCCAGCACTGATGAGACATTTCTAATCCAAACTGAAATTAAATCCAGTGTTGGACTACCTTCTTCTCTAATCTACAACACAAAAATGTTCACTTTTACTCATTCCTTCTAATTGTTCTTTCTTATTCCATATCGTCCTTGTACAATATTTCCATTTACACATGATTCTTTCAAGCCTTTACATTCTAGATATATGAAAAATAGCATCCAGTTCATACATGCTCATCGATTCCAATCGTGATTATCACGACATACTCCATTATGAACCTTGTTACACGTTGAAGCTCCAAATATAATTGAAAGTCAATGTATCCTACATACACAATCGCAGGTTCCCCATTACTAGACATTTCTTATTTTTCTACAAATCCAACTATGCACCTATCATTTCACTCTCCGTCTAAACAGAGTAAATTGTCTTGAATAGATTTATATTTTCTTTGAAAATATTTCAATCTAACTAAAGACTTAAGCCACCTGATGAGACTATATGAGCAATAGTCAAAACACGTTGTGGTTGCTTCTAGCACACCCACACCCTAATTTCTATACGTTGATCGGACTATTCATACGGTTAAAAAACATAATCAAGATGCTTGCGAAAACATGAAATACGAGCACATTTTAGTGC